CCCCAACACTTCGTCTCCTGATTTATTGACCTGTTGTGTGGTGAGCAGACTAAGTTTGGACTCATTAACAAGGTCACCAAGGCTATTTGAAGCATGCCCAAAAAGGAATAGAGTTGCTTAAATAAACTAAAAACAAAAAAGTAGGGAATATCATCAGAGCAGAATCACTAATTAAGTGGCAGGGATATTCAGTAGGACTTGAGGGAACAGAGCTTGCCTGCCCCTAAACCATCGATCAGACTCGGAGTAGCCTGACTGAAGGAGAGAACTGATTTTATGAAGAAAGGAAAAAGGCACAAAGTGATTTTTCTCCTCTACAAAATACCAGCGGGTGTAACTATCGCTTAGTATGGATAAAGGAAATGATCCCAATGGTAAACAGCACAGCAGTACTGAACACTCAACCTAATGCAACAGCTGAGAGGTGTCAGAAAGAAGGGCTTCTGACTTAAAGCAACAGCAGAGCAAACATGCAGAAAAGCAAATGACCTAAAAGTCAGAAATCAGAAATGGAACACAGAGAGGCATCACGGCTGCTTAGACGACAGAGCAGGAGGAAGGTATGTTTCTACTAATTTGAGTCACTAACCCAACGGATATTAAAAATCATTCCAGGCACATGTATGTTAAATTTATTCATGCACTTCACAGAGAGAAAAGTAAAGGGCTGACTTCTCTGCCTTTTATATTGAAAAGAGAAGATACTGTGCAATTATTTTGCATCTTACTACAAGTAAAAACCTTCCTATTTTTTTCCAACATTACACCATGAGAAGTGTCAAATCCCACTGTGCAGAGGCAAGGGTCCCAGTGTGGAGAATGCTGTCACACCCAGTGACTGCGCTGGTCACACGGACACAACACAGAACAGCACTTGCCCCTGAGACAGTAGACAACAAAAGGCTAGATCTGGCCCTCATTTTACAGTCACCAACTGTTTAAGGACAATAAAAAACAAAGAATTTCATGATTAATATTTAAAAAGATAATCTTTGACAACATAGATTTGCAGCCGCCCCCGCCCCCTGACCACACCAGGGCCCACCTCCCGGGAGCTGGCCGACATGGAGATGTGCAACCCGTGAACCTGGGGTAGCAAAGGCCGACCCCAGACCTGGCCAAGGGGGAGATGGGAGAAAATACACGGCACGGTGGGACAGCCCCACTCCTACTGCAGCCCCTGACCTCACCGCGCCC